TGTAGCTCTTTCGCTGCTAATCCACCCTCCTCCACCACGTATTCCTCCATGTGGCCAGCGTTCCCCAAGATGGGGTTTCGTGTCCTTCAATTTGTAGTCCTCTTGGTTAGGTGCTGCTTGTGACTTCATTGGTCCAAGACTAAATGCTTCTCTTCTGGAAATGAAACGTCTGCTGTTATATATTCAGTAGCAGCAACGTTTTCAATAAGTCTTCAGTTCCCCTCTTGTATCTTGCTTAGTTGGAATATGATTGGAGTGGTGGTTAAGTATCCTTCAGAGCTCCAGAAGCTCTAGCCCCTGAAAAAAGTTTTTACATCAGTAATAATTATGGCAGGTATGCTGCAAAAGATGAACTCTATTATTCAAATATAGATTTTGAGGTTCCTCTCACCTCTAACATACAAGAAACACTTCAATGCCAAGGATTGCTGCCTCAGAAAGAAATTCCCAACCTTGAAAATGCACTTTTACCGGCTTTATTGTTGTGATTATGAGGAACTTGAGATCTTTGAGATTAGAAAGGAGGTTCTGATTCTTAAGGCTTAAGGTACAGTGCTCTGAGTTCTGTTTCTCTGGTTTTAAGAGCCACTCTCTACAATCAAGTTAGATAAGATAATCCTTCATTTTTTGGGCATGTGCCACCTCCACTACCAGTTTGGCATTGCTTTTTGGCTGCTGTCTTGTAAATTAAGAAGGAATTTGTTATATTTGAAGGCATGATTTGATTGAGAAAGACTGATGCATGGAGCTAGGAAGTGTGAGAGTGAAGGTATTTGCTATTTCTTTATGCATTAACTTTTGTAATGGACCAAGTAATGCCACTGCAAAACTGTAAAGAAAAACAAGAGGGTTGATTAGTTGTCCAAAATTCCATATTTCTGGAAAGAGATATAGATGCCCTACTTGAGAGGACAAAGATGGTCTTTTAGACTTCAAAGTTCAAAACGCAGTGACAGTGCAACTTCACTTTCATAGATTCTTTCAGCTTTTTTTTGTTCTTTTATAAAATTGTCAAACTTCATAAGGAACAACCCAGATTGCCCTTTACTCTACCTTCCATGTTTTGAAGATTTCAGCATTCATGACCAGGGCATTCTTGTAAGTTTGTTCCAAGTGCATCACTTGGACTGTTGTGGCAGTTCTCTTCTTCTTCCTGCAGAGCTAAGACAAAGCAAAGCAAGAGGAAAAAATAAGAAGAAAAGATAAAGAAAATTAAAGAGCTAAAGCAGTTGTGGTGGGCTTAAAAGAAGCGCAAAAGCATTGCGGAAAGAAAGCTTAAGGGCAAGTCACCTTGCACACAAAGATGCCTTTGCCCATTATTCTCTTCTTTTATTCTCTTTAATAAATGTATAAATCTCTGACTGAGAATGTTACTTTTCTTCCGTTGATTAAACAGAAATTTTAGGGACCCTTCTCAGTTGGTTTGCAAAACTTTTTTCATGCAACGGGTGTATACACACAACATCATTCTCATAATAACCCAGTCCCATGATCAAAAGAGACCGGTTTTTGTGAGAAATATGTTATATATACAAGAATTGTTTCTTGGTTAGGTTAGGTCTGGAGATAACGTAATTCATCTAAGCAGGGGCGGAGCCTCACTTTGGCCAGGGATGGTATCTCGGTATAGGGAAGTTTTTTTCCTATTGTTGCCCTCAATGTAATAAATTTATATCGTTGTCCCCACGAGAAATAAAGCTAGCTCCACGACCGCAGCTAAGACACTTCGTTATTAACTTGAAGCATATTGTACTGAACCACTAATGCTTTGTTCAGAAGAGTCTGAGCAATACCTTCATCTTCTGCTGCTTTTTGTTTTTCCTTAAAAAAGAAAAAGAACAGTGAAAGGTTCGATGGAGGTTTTCTTTTCCCGTAAAGCTAGACTGCTAGAAGATATAAAGAGGCCACTTTTAACTGGCAATGTAAGTCTGCAGCACTTGTCGCCATCAGGAAGTCATTATTTGTCCTTCACGAATCTTTGGTAGCTAGAAAAGAATTAGATAGCTGCAACTTATAGTAAAGTGTTCTATTAGTACCATATCATATCTATAATCAAGCGTTTCATTACTTTAATGTTAGAAAAATTGCAAAATAAAGAATAATAACCTCCTTTCATTTGAAAAAATAAAGAATGCTTTCCGCACTTCCAATAGAACACTTTATTTAGTTTATAAGTGGTCGCAAAATGTACTTGAGTCGGATTTTGCACCGGCCGCGTTAGGAGTAATTCTTGGATGAGATTGCGGCATAGGGTATGTAGCCCTATACTAGAATTTTTCTAGCACTAAAAAGTGACTTGGACAGTTAGTTATAGCATTTATGGCTTCAGGCTGACCATGAAGAAATAAAAATGTAGCATCTATCTAAGTTCAGAGGTCAACAATACATAATAAAGCAAACATAATATATAGATCACCAATTTCAACTCACAGAAACAAAGAAATAAAATTCTCTGTTTGATTGCCCAACAATCTTAGGAACCAATTCAAAAGTTGAAAAAGCTTTAAAATGCAGTCATGCATGCATAGAATATACAGCTTTAACCAAACAAAGTATATCAATATGAAATCATTTGATCCAAACCCATAATGCGAAAGAATCCAAACCTGAAAGTTTTCTTCTCTAACCAAAGAATTGGATTGAAAGTTTGACGACATTGAGCAAAACTAAGAAAACCAAAGATCTAGATTTGGCAAAGAGCGAAGAAAAACGAAGAAAAACAATATTAACAATAAGGGTTAATGCTTGTAAATGCAATTATGCACGCATGGGTTTGGCAGAGAGCCATGAGCGCTGCTCCATTAATTTCAAGTTTCCTAAGTCATTGGCCTCCACAAAAAGAAAAAATCCTTTTTTGTTTTTAATAATTTGTTATTTTCAATTTTTTTTTTTTTTTTGGGTCTACGTAGACACGCATATGTTTAAACTGTCATCCATCCAATGCGATTGAATATAAAATTTCTTCCGACAAAGTAGAGAATAAATATCACTTGACTAAATAGTCAATGATTTATCTCCTCTTCTTTAGCTATCATTTCTTTTTCCCTAACTTGTTCTTTCGGTTGAGAGGTGGACAGAAGCTGAAACAAGCAGAGAAACAAGCTAACACAGCACAACCTGCCTTGGCCATTCCTCCTATGCCATCATCAGCTAGAAAAAAGAGACAAAAACCTTACCGTTTCATCCTTCCAATCATCAGAGGGTGATTAATTAAGTCATCCTTTGTAGTCTTCTAGATTTCAATGTGGAGAGAGTAGATTGTAAAATGGTAAATTGGTGTCCAAAGACAATTAGTTTGAGCTGAGGGAGTAAACAGAAGGGCTTTGTTGGATGATTAGTAATTTCTTTCTTCATAACAATAGCTCTGCAATCGATTTGAGAGCTATTAACGACTCTCTCATTATAACCCTCAGTACAGTCTCTCTGCTCACTTGAGAACTCGAAGTTAGGCCCATGTCAGTCTCTCTGCTCAGTACAGTCTTTCCATATCAGGCTGGTTTACCCACAGGCCTAGGCACCTCCCCCATTGCTTCATCTATATTGCCTTATTTCCATCCAAACATTTAAGTAAATTGAGTGATATAAAAATAAATTAAAGTCACTTAATTTACTAAAATTTACAATGTAAATATGGAAGTACGCCCATTTGGATTCAATTAAAAATACTAGAAAATCAAATTCCCAACAAATCAAAATGTGAAAATCCAGTTCAATATAAGATACAGTTTATATACCAATATTGAAACCTCAATAAGTCAATGTATACTTCATATTAAAATCTCATAAAATCTTATTTGATTACTTAAGATGGGGTTTATATTCCTTACATCTAAAGTGATTCATATAACTATGTTGAATTCTATTCAATCTGTACAACACCATCATAACAATACTTGGAACTATTGACTTGTTCTTTCGTATAAAATGACCATATTGTTGATTCATTATGATGTGACTTTGTGGGAGCAGTAAATTATTTTAGGCTGAAAGCAAAAGTTATGGGCCGTTTGGTAATGTTTTTAGAGCCAATTTCCTGTTTATGTTTCCTGTTTTTGGGCAAATACATGTTCAGTAGATCGTTTTCGTTTTCCCTCACAAAATATTTTCTGAAAACAAATCCAACTTTGTGAACAAAAATTGAAAATGATAAAATGTTGTTTTCAATTTCAAAGTTTTTGTTTTTTGAAGATACGAAAATTCATTTTGTCCTTATCTCTCTTTCTCCAATCAACTGAGGAGCACTACTGTGAAAAGACAAATAACATAAATAGGATAATTTTACCTTTAAAAACATTAGAATTTTTTACTTAAATTATATGAGATTTAGAGAGATACAATGAATTGAATTAGCCAGATCTCAGCGCACAATATATAAACATTAAAGTGAGAGCCCTCATTTTTGACTAGTTGAAGTTCTCAGCACCACATAAGTTGCAGCCACTGTCTTGAGTGGATATATATATTAGGCCCTCAGTTTTGGCGGCCACCCAAATTATGTTCCAATGGATTCCACATTTTTATTTTTTTAAAGGTTTTTTAGGTTTTAGACATAAAAAAAATTTCACTTTTGGAAAAAGCCAAAGCTTTTTCAAAAAAGACAAAAAAACCACTCAACTTTCAAATCAAAGACATGCAAATATATTGGATTCCTTAGGAAATCTAAAAATAAATAAGGGCATTTTTGTCCATTTTTGCTTTTTTTAAAAATTTTCTCTCTCCTTTTGCTTTTTCCAAAATGTCCCTTTTTTTAATTGTAGTTATATATAAGTGAATTGGTAACATCACGTGAGAATATTACGCTGAATCCAGCCTTTAGCAAATGAGAGAGACTCTATTAAATTGGCCATTCAAACCATGTTCCATTGGATTACACATGTTTGAATGTACTACATGGGGCAAGCCATGGTACTTACTGTGATATCCATTAATGCCTTCTATAAGGCCTAGACCACGTGACCAAACTCCAAAACCTTTCGTCAATATTACAACTTATCAGCACAATGCAATACCTACAAATATCCAACACTTCATTGAATCACAATGTGAACCCAGCTCTCTCCGAGCTCTGCAACCCGAAAGACAAGAAAGTCCTACAAATCAAGAAAGCCTTCAATAACCCCTACATCTTGTCCTCATGGATGCCAGAGAGAGACTGCTGTGACTGGTACTCTGTCACCTGTGACTCCACCACAAACCGCGTCAACTCCCTCACCCTCTTCTCCGGCGGACTCTCCGGTCAAATCCCGCCCCAAGTCGGCGACTTGCCATATCTTGAATTCCTTCAGTTCCACAAGCAACCCAATCTCACTGGCCCAATCCAACCCTCCATTGCCAAGCTCAAGAGCCTCAATGAACTGGACCTCAGCTGGACCAGCATCTCCGGCTCTGTCCCTGACTTCCTCAGCCAACTGAAGAACCTCACCTTTCTTGACCTCTCATTCAATAACCTCACAGGCTCCATCCCCAGCTCACTTTCTCAGCTTCCAAACCTCGACGTTCTTCATCTAGACCGTAACAAGCTCACAGGTCGGTTCTAAATTTTCGTATAATAAATCTTGATGTCGATTTTCCGTTAACAACATCCATATTTAAATCTGTTGGAAAAACAACAATTAGTGACTAATTAAAACAATTATATAAATAGAATTTATAATAAACTGTAATACAACTGACTTGAATTCGAGATAGAGGCTTGCAGATTTGATGCAATGTCCTAAAGACACCCCTTTTCGGTGCTTGAAGTTCTACAAGTGACTGTCTCCCAGGATTCAACTATCTGTATTCTAAGCCCTAGCACTCTCTGTATCTCAAAGTGCCCCAAGGCCCAAGGCCCATCTTTTTGACAATTAAATATTATATAATTTTACATAATATTCTAAGCCCAACTAGATTTTGAAGCTCAAATTGCTTTCACTTGGCTCACTTCCATTTACTAAGTGTGAGACTTCCACACTTATAAAGACCTCATTCTTTCTACTTTCTACCAATGTGGGACTAAGGTTCTTGAATTTCATTCAAACTTCCAACAAAATCCTTGCTTGCTTACAGGTCCTATTCCGAAGTCATTCGGAGAATTCCATGGCAGTTTTTCAGCTCTCTATCTCTCCCACAACCAGCTCTCAGGCAAGATACCAACCTCATTAGCCAAACTGGACTTCGGCACCATAGACTTCTCCCGGAACAAGCTCGAAGGTGATGCATGCATGCTCTTCGGATTGAACAAGACAACCCAGATTGTGGATCTGTCGAGGAACTTGCTGGAATTTGATCTGTCAAAGGTGAAGTTTTCGAAGAGCTTGACTTCCTTGGATCTCAACCATAACAAGATCACAGGCAGTATTCCGGTGGGGCTGACCCAAAATGATTTGCAGTACCTGAACGTGAGCTACAACAGGTTGTGTGGTCAGATTCCAGTGGGTGGGAAGTTGCAGAGCTTTGACTCCTTGACGTATTTCCATAACCGCTGCTTGTGCGGTGCTCCACTCCCAAGCTGCAAGTAATTCCCCCGGCCTTGGAAGATTAAATTTGGCCAGCAATTTCATTACCACTTTGCAGTTATATACTTCTGTTTGATAAAATAAGGGCTTCATGCAATAATCTATACTAATGCTAAACAGGCTACAGCTTTTTGTAACCAAGTAGTAAGGAATTAATAAGATTTGTGTGCCAACAAATCACTTGCTCAAAATGAAAAGAGAGTAATTCTTGGGTGAGACCACGACATAGGGCAGCCCTACACTAGAATTTCAATGCCACTAGAATCTGGCTTGGACAGTGAGTTAAAGCACATTACATTGAATTTGCCAATTAGCTTTGGTATCTAGGGTTTAGACGTCAAAACTGCATAATAAAGCAAACATAGATCACCAATAATTTCAACTCATGGAAGCAAAGAAATAAAATTCTCCCAACAATCATTTGAAATGCAGTCATACATAGAACATAGCTTTAACCAAGCAAAAGTAGAGCAACATGAATTGATTTTGACCCAAAGCCTAATGCCAAAGAATCCAAACCTGAAAGTTTTCTTCTCTAACCAAAGAATTGGCTTGAAAGTTTGACGAAGAGCGAAGAAAAACAAAGAGCGAAGAAAAACAAAGAAAAAAATAATATTAACAATAAGGGTTAATGCTTTTGAGTGCAATGGGTTTGGCGGAGAGCCATTTGGCGCTGCTCCATTAATTTCAAGTTTCTTAAGTCATTGGCCTCCACAAAAAGAAAAGGCCTTTTTGTTGTTAATTTGTTATTTTCAATTTCCCTTTTTTTTTGGGGTTCTATGTAGAGACCATAAGCTTAAACTTTCATCCACACGATGTGATTGAATATAAAATTTCTTCCCACAAAGTAGAGACTAAAAATCACTTGACTAAATAGTCAATGATTTATCTCCTCTTCTTTAGCTATCATTTTTTTTCCTAACTTGTTCTTACGGATGAGAGGTGGACCAAAGCCGAAACAAGCAGAGAAACAAATTAACACAGCACAACCTTGCCTAGGCCATTCCTCCTATGCCATCATCAGCTAGGGAAAAAAAAAAATTACAAAAACCTTAGGCCCTGTTTGGTATCCTATTCATAAAAGTAAATTCAAAAACTATGATTCTTTTTAAAAACATGAGTTTTCAAATAATGATTTTAAGATCTAAAAACTTGTTTGGTATTGAAATCCAAACTATTTTTAAGATCTATAAAAATTGAAATTAAAATGTGAAAATCAGAAACCTAGATTCCCAAATGAGATTATTTCAGTTAGGGTTTCAATTTATTGGGTAATTTCTCTAATCTTACTCTGTATTTTTCTGTCTTCTGCTAGATCGTTGTCTTTCTCTAGTTTGTTGTCACTCGTTGGCTCGTTAAATCTGCTTCTTCACATTTCATGCTCAAAGAAAAAGCAGATATATGGGATTTGGGTTGACACAGAGATGGCCAAAAGATTGAGCTCGCAGCTCTTCGTCAGCAGTATTCTCTCTTTCC